CTCGCATAACCAGTAAATTGCTATTTAGCACTTCAGCATCTACAGTCTAGTGTATGTTGCGAACTCAAACGTCAACTTCAACTCAAATTTCCCATTCTTTCACTTAAACGCATTCATTTGTGGCGTTTGAATCCGAAATTTTTGAATATAATTTTTTTCAACTCACAAATAAAGTTATCTGATTATTTGTCCTGCAAATTGCGCCTGTTCCTTGAGCATTTAATATTTTGCCGTTTTTTTTTTCAGCAGAAAGAACGTTCATTTTTTTCGCTCATATAAGAGTTACGGTATGGTCATTTTTGACCATCTTTGCTTTTGCGCTTCTATCAGCTTCTAAACAATAGCATCTACCATCTTAACATATTCAGAACGTTTCTAGATCTTCAATTTCAGAAGAAATTCTTGTTATCGTCAGGAGGGATACATTTGACTGATGTGCTATAAGATTGCGAGTATTCCAAATGCTATCGTCAAAAAAAAATCCAAATACTAATCATAAGTAGTCGTTGGAAACAAAACTATTGTAGATGCATTGAAAGTGCGCTGATTTGATTTGTTCAGCCGTTTCGGATGTAATTATGCGCTTTTGTGTTGCACCGAAGCAGTGAACCGCAACTATTGACTGAACTGTTGATTGCCGGAGACCTTTTGTTACCGTCATCAGGCCAACAGCGAATATTTTTTGCGATCGCTGCGATCATCGTCAATTTTTGTCTTGGAATGAATGCACTATAATATAAAATAAAGCCTCACAGTAAAATTTCATAGCTGCATATATACGTTAAGTATTCAATGTCCATATGTTGATTACATAAACAATGGTTTTTGATTTAACGGGATGTTGTGTTCATCGTGTTCATAAAAGGATTTATGCATTTTTCGATGGTTTTTACGTCAACCCATCCTCACATCTTGCCGTGCAGACAGAAGACTGAATCTGGCAAGCTTCAGTACCTCCGTGAAATTTTAATTACAATTTTAATCAGCTTCCAATTTTTCGCTTTTATGATCGACACGGAATCGCACCAAATGAAATTCCATATGAACTCTCGAGTGTATTGTATTTTTGGTACAAGGCTCAGCACGTGACTAGTTTATTGTGAATGGCCAATGATCAGCATTTTATTACGTATATGGCTTATGGAGAATGTTGGCATAATTGCAATTTCTACTGAGCCATATTATACTGTTCATAAAGTTAGCATATTGCACATTTTTTCCGGTCCAAAAGTTTGCTCGCACACACTCAAATGTCAACAACATTGCCAATTGTACGCAACTGGGTTGGTGAGCTGTGGGATTGGCCATTGCAATGTTCGGATGGTGTGGTGAGAGTGACGAATACGAGAGATAAATTCGAGGTTGGACTCGACGTGCAGTACTTTGCACCAAATGAAATTGAGGTTCGTTCAAAGGATTTACGAGCATTTAGGTCGGATTTTGGGCAGTGATTAACACTTAAGACTTGCAGCTGATCTCATTTAAGATGGCTGAATTCGAAGAGACCGATCAGCCAATTCGGCTTTCCACGGAACGAAGTATTTCTTTATTACTCTCATTCCAATATCAGATATGTGACTGTTTCGCAAATGTGTCATAATTTCTAAATTCAAAAAATTTCATCAGATCCCCCTCCGTCAATGTGTTGCTGGTAGTCAGTTAGCATTGTAGCTTAGAAAAAAATAACGATGATTCACTTTAACACCTTAACGCTGTGTTCAGGTGAAAGTGAGCGGTCAAGAGATAATAATAAACTGTCGACATGAACTTCGTCCGGATTCAGTTGGTACGGTAGCACGTGAGGTTCATCGTAATTACAAACTGCCTGAAGATGTCGATGCCAGCACTTTGGAGTCACATCTTTCGTCGAGAGGAGTGCTCACGATCACTGCTGACAAAATATGATCTACACAACAAATAACATCAGTCTATCCATAAAATATCTTCTTACATCTTCCATTTGCGTGAAATTTGTCAATCCAATTGATTTTACTCGAAAATCTTTGTAAGGAAATCATTTCATTTGCTGTGCACCCTTCAAAAACGATCTGGCTACTAGTAAATTTTCCTCAAAATATGTTGCA